GTCCCGATCGAGGCGATCAATAATGCTAAGCGCAGGAGGGATAGCTGAGTGCGGCTAATGGCTCTTGCCGTTTGGAAAGAGACTCTTTTTAAGGAAAGCATGAGTACTTCTTACCTTCTTACCTTCTTGCCTGCTCGACAGAGATACGGCCAATGCCATGGGAAATTAACGGTGTCATCGATACCCATGCGCTCCTACGTGCAAGCCGACCCGAGTAGCTACCGGTCATCTTCTTGAGCCTCGGACTGCCTTAAGCGTTCTCGGCTCCCGCTCAAATATCAAAGGAGAGACGGATCGATCGACGTAACGTCTCCCAAGATTTCTCGGAAATCATCATTCGTAAATATTAATAAAATTTAAGTTGGTACCATTAACGAATACGTCGCTGCGCTCCGAGCACGAAATGTCGCCGGCCTGACCTTTTGGCCCGGCCCGGTTTCGCGAGTCCCCATGAGCCCCGGCGAGTCTCTTTACGACTCTCGACTCGAAGCGATCGAGTCACGCGGACCTAATTCACTTTTTTCTTGGGAACCCACTGCCAATTACTTCGCGACGTACATTAACGAGAACAAGAACGGGAACGAAGGACGAGATGCGATCTCGGATGATTCGCGCACGCGGTCGAGATAATACCCCGCGAATGAAGCCAACGATAAGGCAAACATTCATTTTACAGAAAGCAAGATCAGATCTGAGATCGGACATGCGCGGTCGGACCGAGTCGAGCTTAACGATAGGAAAGTGATTGCCCATGGAAATATCTCGAGACATTTAAATAACAATGAGAGATCTAGAAGCGCTCGAAAGTGAACAAGATGGGTGATAATAATGATAATAATAACAAGATCCTTGGTCGTAATATCGAGTTAATAAACTCCGTACATGGCCGCGATCTTTAGCTCGACTAATAGCCATCGAGCAGACATTTTCTTCGCCGGCGTGGGTACGTATTAATGATCTTGCAGATGTGCTCCTGGTCTTTCGTCATCGTCATCATCGCAAATCGCTCCTCGCGCCGGAGTCTTGCTTTAATTAGCCACGTCCACCCGAATCCCTCATTCTTCTCAGCAATCGATCTCGCCCTCCTTCGTCGTGCGAGTACGTCTAGTTAAGAATATTAAGGAGCGAACGAGGGACACCCGGAAGCGAAAGACCAGCCTCGAGCCAACCAGCGCACCGAGTATAAGATGAATGGCTGTAGCGACGTAGCGAGCGGGAATGCGCAGACTGTAATTTTGGCAGCGGTCCTTCTGCGTAAGGAAGAGGCTGCGGTCGCACGGGTGGCAAAATGGAAGTCATCGAGGACAAATTACGGGTAAGCCGAAAATCAGTGGTGTCGGCTCCAGGGAAGGTAATAACTTGCCGGGCGTTTACGTAAATGCATCCCGGAGACTGCGCATGCGCGTACGTACGGTATATCGGGGTGCGAATTATTAGCGATAAATCGCGAGGGGCGGCCAGGACGCTGCCAAACTGGGATCGGTCAGTGTGTCCCGCGTGAGATGATTTTCGCGTCGAAAAGTATGTATGCGTGATAGGTGGGTCTCTCTGTGTCGGAGGGGAGGGAACCGCACGCGGGCCGAATCTGTCGCCGCAAAAAAGAAAGGCCCTCGTACGTAATAATACGTTGCGCTCGAGCCCGGCCAATATATTAATTACTGCTCAATATATTAATTACCGACCCTATAATCTTGCCGGGATGCCGTGGGATCTCTTACTGTCGGGATCTCTTGGTCGCGCCCGAGCGCGCAACTATGCAGGCACAGGTGATGCACGTGTGTTGCAGATGTACCGATATCCCGCTTACACACCTACCGATACTCCATTCCCTGTGAATCGGTGAATCGATCGCTCCACCCGAAGGTCGAGAGCAAGCGTGTCTTTTCTGATCGTTTACATGCTGCGCCAGGCGTAAACATTGGCTGGACCCAAATCCGCGCCGGATCCTGACACCCCGGACCCAAACCCATGCTGCAGCCTCTATAGGAGCAGATCCCTCGTCCTACGGGGTCTGGGTAGATACTCGTAGAGGGTCGGTGGACGGAAGTGACGGTCGCCTGGAAACGAACCGAGGGGAGCCGTGAAACGTGAAAGTCGAACGTGAAGTCTGTAGGGACTCTCTAGAATGCATTCTTGGCTTCGCTTCGAGTCACGAATGGTGACAGCCGCACGAGAGATGTCACCCGGTAAACGTCAAGATTACGTCATCCTGGGCCCTTATTAAATCAAACTTTGATTCGAGGGGCAGATAGGGCCCGGCTGTGTTGACAGGTGGATTCGTTCTTCGACGAGAAGACCCGATCAAGATAAAACCCTTTAACCCTTAAACGCGTCGGCCGATTCTGGCTGCGCTCCTAAGAGTCCCATTTGATTCCGAGTATCTGAGTCATCTGGTTCCTTTCTAGAAATCATTCGGTGCGCGCGACTGTTTGATCCGTAGGCGCGACTGTTCCAAGTGGAACGTCCGTTAGAGCGTGCGACTTCGCGGCAGGTAAGGTGCGCGACTTGAGGATTCTGATGAAAACTTTTGGAATCTTGCCGAAGGTGGACTGGAGGCGGGTGGGAATCTCGATTGCGATCATTTCTAAGATCCTCGATACATGTAAATCGGCTCATTCGTTTGAAAGATGACGGATGCGAGTGAGCGAATATTTGAGAATTTCGAAAAATACGAGACACGGCCAAGGGGAAAGTTAAACTAATGGCAAAAGGAAACTCGAAGGAGACGAAGGAGGGATTGGATGAGTCGCAGGTGATCTCGCGACTGTAGGTGCTCACACGCAGTTACGTAGGTAGGCAGATAGATAGACAGATAGGCAGGCAGGCAGGCGGATAGGTATGAAAGTGCTAGGCAGGTTGCCGAGTGAGTTTGTCGAGAGTCTCGCAGGGGAGAGAGAGCACGGATCTAAACGTCCGTCGGGAAGACGTCGAGAACAATGGTCCCTGCTGATGGAAAAGAAGAAATAGTCGAGGCATAAGAATAAGAATATAAGGTGGACGAGAAAGGTAGCGAAGGAGGTTCGACCTTAATTCGTCCGATGCGAACCGCCAATTATATCGAATGATTCTCTGGTATCGTGGGCCTGAGAGGAAATCGGTAGTCGATCGGCCGGTCGGCAGGCAGTCAGCCAGCCAGTCAGCCAGGTAAGTAAGCAGCCCAGGCAGGCAGGCAGGCAAGCAAGCAATGTCGAGCTGTGCACCTGTAACGGATCGTAGTAGCATATCTAACGTATCGAGTGGATCGAACGGATCGAAGTATAGGAGGTATTATAAGTATTGACCCGGTATGTAGCGCAGGTTGCAGGAGCGAGGACGAGTCGTGATCCGGTGTGCAAACGACCGAAGATCGCATCGCGACGGGGGACCTTTTGCTTTCTAATCATCCTCAAGGTTAACCCCGTGAACCTGCTAACTCGGCTCCGGAGGTTAGTCAGCCTGGGTCCTCTGTTCCTCGAGCTCCCTGCCCTCCCGCCCTATCGGTAGGGACGTGACCTTAGAGGCAACGTGCACCAAGCACGAGCAAAGCGAAGACGTGGGTGTCTCTGTCGAGCGTACCGTTAGTGATCGGGACGCCTCGTTCCATTGTTCCAGGCCGCGCGAGACTCTTATAGGTTAATTACCATCGGCAGACTTTGCCGTGAGCATATCTAGCAACCTACCAACCTACCTGGCCATCCATCTACCTACCTACCTAGTCAGCTATCCGTCTACCCATCTATCCATCCATCTGTTTAGCATGGCCTATCTGCCCCGGTGCACCTAGGAACATCACGCGTCTTGTACCCAGAGCGAAAAGGTGAACTGGATAGAGAGAGAGAGAGAGAGAGAGAGAGAGAGAGAGAGAGAGAGAGGGGACTTGGTGGGTGGTTGGGAGGCGCGTGCCCGAAAACCTTAGAATCCGTTGAGCTAGGAACCCGGGGCACGTACAAATGCTTTTATTTATTTGAAACACCTCGGTTATTAATCGCCTGCATCTACGCGGTGGTGAATCCTCTTACGTGGGTACAAATAACGAACATGCTCCATGTTGAGGGAGACACACGAGGTGAACCAGAGAAATGTTTTAAGCGAGGCACTCAGGGCGCCCACGCTCGTCCGCGCCAACAGACGCGCCGACACGCGCGCACACGCCGGGTCCTTATTTCAACGATAAATTAATGTTCTGTCTCTCGGATGCATAATTGTGCACGGCGTCGCGTGGGGACCGCCGGGCCCAGAGCACGGACCCACGAGATACCCTGGCAATGACACGTAACGAGGGATCTAATGGCTTCGCAAACACGATCCAGCCACGAAACCTCTTCGCCAGCATCGCCAACTTTACCAACCAGGAAGACCCAGCCTTCTTGTATCTTCTGGAGTAACTTCATCCTGGTGGCTGTCGTCGTACCGTGTGGATGATCCCCATCCAGCATCCCCGTTGGACCCGTACCTGGTGATTTTCAACCGATCCACCGGCTGGCACAAGTGGATAGCCTGACGGTTGGTACCGGCGCAACGATAGGTTGGTACCGCGAAGCTAGGAGACATTTCGCAAGGGAAGATGATCCGGCTAGGCCGATCCAGTTCAGCCGATAAACGTTCACGAGAGGAACGTGTGCTCTCGTTCACGTATCGCGTTCAGATTCGAACTACGATAAAAAGCATAAGGAGTCATGCTCGAGAGCGAGAGTCGAGATTCAAGATTCGAGAGTGGATGAGAGTCCGGGCCCGTCATTATAATTGCCGGGGAGATAAGCCCCGATATCAGGATCGGCTAAATTACTCTCGAAAACCGATCGATGCCGCTTCTGCGGGAGAGTGGGCAATTAAATTGCGTCACACACTCCTGGAGATCCGATCGGGCCCTCGATCGCTCGAGCTTGCTTTTAGCGTTTTAACGAACCGAGGCCCCGACAGACACTGGGCCCATTCGCGCTTCTAAGTACGATTACCCAGCCGATTCGATATATTGCGACTATACGTCTACTTTGCATCTTCTCTTTTTTTTTCCTCCTTACCTCTCGTTCCTTCACGTACTTTTACTTTCGTTCTCTTCGAAGGAACTTGTTCGACTCGTTCATCCGATTTTACATTCTGCGTACCGATCGTTGCCTTTGAATTTCGAGGATCGTCTCGGCACGTCTTCTTCTCATCGTCTGCTCCTATAAAGATAAAGGCGAAATAAATTCGGGCGCTCGCGCGCGACTCCTCGGGCATCCGATCAGGATGAGAATCACGTTCCCACATTTACATTCGACCTATTGTCTTTCTGTGCTTCGCGGGCGCGAGACCTTCACTCTTGAATTCTCTTCGATTCACTTTCAATGCTATTTTTACGCATGCCCGAGCCTCCCCCGCCAAACTGCACTCACATACTGATGCACTCGAATACCTTGAAAAACTTGAAATTTCTCATTTTCCCACTTGCGACTCTCACTCGCTCCTCCATTCCAGCTTGGCAGCTGTAAGGCGATGCTTTCCAAAACACGATATTCTTTACGCGCTGGGACGCCTGAGATGGTCGTTCCTGATTTCTGACCCATATCCACAGTACGACAGGCACAGTCGCACTTGGTCAACTTTCCTTAAAGGTAAAGTTGGTCGATATTTTTCATCGGACAGATTGTGAATTATCAGAAGGAGTAAGGAAAATGAGAAGAATAAAAAGTGAATAAAAAGAATAAAAATAAGAAGAAGAAGAAGAGAGCATCGGTCCAGCAGAGTGGATATGCTGATACGCATGTAACTGGGAACTCGTAGCTTGCATCTACGTAGTTACATAGGTACATACGTAGATAGGTACATAGAGGTAGGTAGTACACGAGTCGTTTCGAGCACCTTGTTATGCGCTCCTTTTATCTCGCGTCCCGCAGTGACGAAGCTGGTCTGTCACTCACGTCCCGAGAGACACGGAATTTGATTTTATCGCTTGGTTTGCATACGGTTACTCTTCTGGCCCGGTACACATGTGTCGCCCCGGCTGCCTCCTTTTTCGTACCAACCTACCAGCAGCGGCATCGCCCCCAAGCGATCTACAACTGCGATTTGGGTACTTGAACTCTGCAATGATGCGCAAGTGTACTGCAGCTCGGACGCGTTATATATCTATACGTCCTGACTCTTCAGAGACACACGCGGCACCGGGGGTCAGAGGTTAAACGACAGTGGGCTACCGATCTGGATGATATCAGAGAAGACGGAAGAGTGGGTTCTTTGGAAGAATTACGGAGAATCGATTTGAAGAAGGGTTAGAAGGGGAGAGTGTGATGACCTGATTAGGATGAAGATGAGGAAGAGAGAGAGAGAGAGAGAGTTGGTTTGAGTCGGTTTGACGGGATTCACGCCTGGGATGAATTTATCAAAGCACGATAAACGGTCCTTGGGGGCGCCCTCTTTAAATCCTTGAGATTTCAATAGAGCGTGCCTTCTCGGAAGTTGGACGTCTTCTCCGACAGTCCTCGCGGAGGTCCTCGAGGTTCAGAATATATGGTACTCATGCTCCTAATGCACACACAAGGTCTGCAGGCTTCGCAAAGAGCCTGAAGCCCTGAGATCCACCATCCTTTGGAACGCACCTGGGACCATGTCGCGTAAGACAGGCAGTTCCTGAGGAGGCTCCTGGACTGCTGCCCGAGTGGATGCAGGGTAACTGCGACCTCAGCTAGTCAGGAGTGAAGCGTGAATCTTCGTGATTGAGGGTTAGCAGTAGCGCATTATCCAGGATCGCCCGGGGACATTGGCCGGTCGATCCGCAACAGGGGGAAGTACCACCCTATGCAGGATCCATTATTTCTTCGATCATTGGCACTACTTGCTGATGTATCGATACATCGATTAAGTGATCTCTGCTTTATTCACTTCGTTCCAATAAGAGTAAATTGCACAGTTCAATATAACCCTAAAACCTTTGTGGCTTCATAATTCGCGTGGATCATCGCTCCTCGGGGTCTGCTGTTATATTAATGGATTATCGAGTGGCGATTCGAAATTTCAACTTTCTTCGGAATCCTCCTCCTCGCCGTCATTTTTCATTTTTTCTCCTAATAAATCAAGAGGCGTGTTAATGATGCGACTGGCCTGACCCAGAGAGCGAAGATCAGAACGAGGAGAAGAGTACGAGCGTGCCAGAAGAGTGAGATAAGTACGACGAGCGTAGGTAGGTACCTACGCTTCACCTCCATCTCTGCCTCCTTCACGCTGCCTCGAGAAGACAGGAGGATCTCGTGTCCGCCTGCAGCATCATCCAGATCTCCGGTGGTTCCGAGAGGCGGTCGCGTCGTCCAGGATTTACCAGAGAAAAGTTCACGTCCTACGCTTTACAGACTCGAGTGGTCCTTTCGAGATTCTCTTCCTTCCACGGCCTCTCCTCGACTTCTCGCCGACTCGTGGGATCCTTGCAGTTTTTTTACGGGGACCGGGAGGACTTGGCAGGCCGAGGACCTGGACGCTCTGCAGATTCCTCACCGGGAGGATGAACCTAGTGCAATATCAGCAACATCAGCCTACTCCCTGCGAACGTCCACGTCTTCAGGTTCCAAGGCACCTCCCCGTCCTCCTATCTCTATCTATGGGTATAATGGGCAAACTGGCATATTAGATAAATGCGACAACCGCGAGGCATTTGCCATCGAAAGATCCTCATTTCGCGAGTAATTACGCCGCGGGTGTAATTTGCAATATGACTCTCATCGGCGCATTGTTTTCCAAGTCGGTCAATCGAGGTGTCCTTCGATCGAGGATCGCGCGCGATACGATCGAAATCTCAGGGTCGCGAAAGGACTCTCCCACACTGTATGAGAGATAGTGACGAGAAGAAGAGGGCTCGGCAGCCATGAGGTCGCAGGAGAAGATTATCCTTGAAGAAATGTGAATCGTCAGGAACTCGTTTGATCGCACCAAGAGAGACACGAAATCCTTCTAGAAGGATTCATATTTCTCTCCCCCGACCTCCCCTTCGGCCACCCCCGCGCTCTCTCTCTAGGCTCTCTCGCTGTCCTAGGTCCGTCGCTCTCCTCGCGCCCACCTAACCCCACCTGACCACTCACAATCGAGAAGTCAGTCGGTATTTTTCTCCCGGGAAAAGTACTATGCATCGCACGGAGGATGCTAACAGCTAGAAAGATTCTAACGTGTGTCACCTCTGGCACTCCAGGTACCTTTGCTTCGTGCTTGCGGGAGAGGAGCCGTCATTATCCGCGTCGCCGAGATTACGATTATTATTCGATCGTGCAATAATCGAGCGCCAGGCTAGAGGCGAGCAGAGATCCTCTTGCTGGTGAATTTTTGCAGAGTCACTCCTGGTGGACCTCACCTGTCCAGAGTGGACCTCACCTGTTTCCTGCTGCCGGGAACACGTCATTCCTAGAGATAGGTCGAGAGTCAGAGACGCGGACGAAGAGTCCTCCTGGCGCCAGGACTCCTTCGAGACTCACCTATATCCTGTTTGCGCTATTGGCATTATCGATTGCCATCGAATTCGCCAAGATCACCTCGCGACCTGTGTACTCGATAGCCACACCGAAGACGCGTCTTGGGACTTTGCAACCTCATAGGCGACGCGCGAGAAGCTCGGGCCTCCGGGAGTCGGCCGAGAGGACAGGATCATTTATCTCGAGTTCAGGTGGGATCCGGACAGTCGGGATAGCTCATCACAGTCGTCATGTAAATCAGGCATGAGGCTGCAGTGCGTTCTGGGATTTGCATTGCGACGAGTGCGGAATAGGAAAAGTAGGAGTCATCGTTGTTAAAAGTCCAAGGGGAAGGAGCAGGGTGCAAGGATCGGGGGAGGGAATCGGCAGTGACGTGGTGCTATAGGATGGCGCGTCATGAGTCAGATATCCTCCAGGTTTGAGCGTGCTGGGTCAGAGGTCGACTGCATTTGCTCCTACTCCTCTTGTGCGCATCCATCGCCGTTGAGTCCTTGATATTAGAATGGTCCAGAGAACGCGCATCCAGTGACCGTTACGTTCCTCTTCGCATGCAGTCAGCTAGACTGGGACTCACGATCGCGAGCGATCATGAGCGATCATGACGACATCATCCTCGTTTTATTATCGCCACACGAATTCCGTCGTACATGAGATTACGTGTACGGTAGGTGCTCGTATGCATGATCAATGCCTGAATACCTACACCTCGTGCATCAGGTGTTTTCCCGTATTTTCCACATTTCTCACTATTTACACAGATCATCAAGATCCTTCGAATTTTTTAGAAATCATTAAATCCGATCGCTTTCGCTCTCGATCCTAGTCCGATTCTCTTGCTTCTCTCTCGTCCTACTCGAAGCGTTCGCGTGATCTTCACGCCTTTTCGTTCCAGTCCTCCCGATACGGATCGGTTGATTCGTATGGTCGTTCCGTATGGATCGATGGGATCTAATAAAACGCTCGAGCCGGAATTACGCGCTCGTAAATCGGTAGCGACCTCGTTCGCTGGTATAAATATTGACGCTCGTTATTTGGCAGGACTCGCGATGTCGGCGGGGCCTCCTGGCCTCCCGGTCAAGGTCCGTGAGTTACGAAACAATAGCTATTAATTTCGTGTCGTTGGCATTGAGACGCTGAGGTAGCATCTTCCTGTTGTTGGATTAATGACAGTTCGGGATAATGTTAAGGACGATGCATTTAAGTAAGAACTTCTCTACCACGCAACTGGTGCATTACGTGTTCGCCAAGCGGCAGACTACAAAGACATGGACACGCGCATGCACACCTCTACTCTTTCATTTTTATTCTCGCCACGATCGCAACCGGAACACGATCTTAAAGAGATCGGCCAAGATCAGTAAGATCGAGATAATGAATTCCTCGAGAGACCGAACGTTTCCAGTCTCATTGAGGCTGTCATGTGTATCGCTGCTCTGTCTCAAAAGGGATTGATCCACTTGATCTGCCTCCTTAAGATCATCATCACGATCAGCCATGATCTCACAATGAATGATCCTGCCAGTCTGTATATACAGTAACTCCGAATCACGTCTTGACTCCCAAGAATGAAATTCTCGTTGCCGGTTTTGGTTACTGCGCGACGCCTCTGGTACCCGGGTCCCAGGTCCCACCAAAGAAGAGAGGGTTAATGATAGTTCTCCGAACGTCAGTCATCCTGGACCGTTTACCAGCCGAATCACTTAATTATAGGAAATGCTTTGGATTTAATTTGG